AAAGGGGCACAAAGACATACTTTTCTTTCTTATTCTCATTTAAAATGTCTAGCTTTTAATAAATAATTATCTGAATCTTACATCCAAAGTTTTAATCTGATGTAAAATGTATAGAAGTCCATTACTGTATATAGTAACTATTAAGTCTAATAAACCCTAGTAAGCTATAGTACTTCATCATCTGTGCAGTCTGCAATTTTGTTGAAGAAAGATGTTGAATCTATTTAATTATTCTTGAAAAATAACAGATTTCTGTGCATTTTTTTTTTCACACTGAATCAAATTATAGTTTATTACGTCAATTAAGCATCATGAGGTGGAGGGTGGGTGGTTCCCTATTTTTTTTTTTTTTTTTTTGCTGGGAGTTTTAGAATCCTATTAGTTAGGTTGCTTACTCTTTAAAATACCAGAATAGGGAGGATGGAGCAGGTTTAAGTTTATTAGATTGATCAGTTTTGCTGAACTATGAAATATTTTGGGTGCAGTGCATTTTTTGCATACAGGTATAACAGAATAGCTTTAGTGTTTGTTTGTTTTTAACTTGAGTATGAACTTATACAAAAAGCAAGATATTAAAAAAAACAGTATTATTGATTAAAAAAACACACTATATCGGATTCATATCGGTATCGGCCGATATCCAAATTTATGATATCGGTATCGGACATAAAAAAGTGGTATCGTGCCATCTCTAATTAAACCCGAAACACTTTTGGCCCCAGGCGCTGGTGTGGAGTCTGGGTGAACTCTTGCGGAGCTGCTGAGCACTTCTACTCAAAGACACCCATTGTGGCGCCTGTAAAATCCCAAGGTACACATTTAAATTATGCACTTTACATCTATTGCATGTGTTGTTACTGCAATGACCTCAATTCCCAACAGAAATGAGATTTAACACTTCCACTTGTACTGGGACAAAGTGAGTCTTGTTACATAAGCATGACAAAGGCGTCATCGGTCACTACGACATGCTGTTTACTTTATCCTTTACGGCACGTAAAGCATAAAACAGGTTGTTAAAGAGGAATCAGTCACGTAGTTGCAATGAATGATGTCTTGCTTCTTTGTTCTTCATTATACTGCAGTTTCTATTCGCTTTGTTTATATCTTATTCTGCTCTGAGTTTGGCATTTTGTGTATATTCACAGCACTGAGCAAAGGTTTTGAGTTACTCCTCATCTTTTCATCTGGTGTCCAGGATTTCTGAAGCTTTTTCAAAGTTTTCCTTTGGACACTGGCTGCTTCTTCACTCTTTTTTAGTCCTGTCCTTGTGTCTCACTTGAGTTAGCATATAAAAACATCCTCGCATACACCAAGGCGAAAAGATGCAGGAAGAAGAAAATCTTACGAACCTACACTTTCTACAAATAAATATTTTATACGGTTATTTACAGTAGCAGAATGCCTATATGCATACATGTAAATGTACCTATACATTTACACATAACCACAAAAACATACAGACAACTCCAAAGCAAAACAAAAAAAATAAGCATAGCAATTTTGAACTGAGTTACTGGCCATTGTATACAAACCATTAAAGATATAGCTTATCTGACTCATGCTGTGAAAAGTGAGATGTGATTTATAAAGTGTCATGTTCACAGTGCTATGTAAAGCTTGTTTTTGATGATTCCATAGTTAGTAATGCTTAAATTAGCTAGCTTTGTTTCAAAGCACTCTGAGAAAAGTAGTTTTCTCGTTTGCTCAGCAAAACTGTCTTATATCACATAACTTCTGCAGTATAGCAGGTAATATTTCACATATTGCTTTGAACAGTCAATTAGATTGTATGTACAAAAAGAGTGGAAATAAACATATCAAAAATATCGTTTGTGAAAATAATTAAGAAATCCTACACTGAACATCTAACAAAAACTAAATTAAAATACTTAAAGTGGACCCCTATTTTGTGTCACATATATAGGGTTACAGCTTCTACAGAGTTTCAAATTATGAGGTCAGTATGTGTACAGTAATCCCTGTGAGCCAAAGGCTCAGGGTTTGGACTGCTCTGAACACAGTGTTTGAGCTTTTCGGCTGATGTGTGATGTCAGTGAGAGGAGATACCTGCTGTTTTTGAACAACAGCCAATAGCAGAAAGTTAGCTTAAAGTGGAGAGTTTTAGATAGCTGTTCAGGTCCTGTGTGAAGGCAAATCATAAGATGAATTAAGCTTATTTTAAACATTAGGCCATGCAAAGCTACTTTAGCAGAATCCAAGACCAAAAATTTGAAACTGGAAATCAGTACAAAAGGTCCTCTTTAACCCAGGCCTCGAAAATATATTTTTGTCAGCATCTGGCCAATTCAGAAATGTATTCCGTCTTCCATCTTCTTTGCATGGGTAAAACTAACAGTCCGCTTCCTGTCCTTGTGTACAGAGGCCACTCTACAAGCCTTATCTATTCAACACTTGTCGTCTCGGTATCCTGTCTTCAAAATAACTCCAAATCCTCCCCGGGCAATCGTCTCACCCTCCTTTTCTTGAGGTAACACAGGCTCAAAGATACACAAACTAACAAGAACCCAGACAAAACACACGGACTGTTCACACTCCCGGCATCTGCAACAACAAATGGGCACTTTTCCTCCTTCATAACACATGTAAGAAACACTTGGCCCTTTGCTACATTCAGAAAATAAGGGTTACAGTAAATTGCCTCGTATATTTACATTAAAAAAGCAAACTTTAAAATACAACGGGTTGCTAAAGATTAAACGCTTATGACCTCTTAACAAAGTCACATTTCAAATACGAGCTGTTAGCGGATTGTCTGATGTCCTGAAAGGAATGAAAAATAAAATAAAATAAAGTGAAACCACTGATGGCTATGATATTATATATCATATCATTAAAATACTATCAATATGTAGAGCTAGTTGCAACACTGAGAGCTTGGCTGTTTATTACAGCTACCAGGGGCACATCAGCAATATAATATAATATAATATAATATATATGTATATAAAAACCACTGAACGATGACTTTTACTTTTGAAGGAAATTTTACTTATAATGGGAATACTTATCTACACCGATTCAATTAAATTGTATTTATATAGCGCCAAATCACAACAACAGTCGCCTCAGATTTGACATATTTATATTGCACATATTATGTGAGTCATAATAAAAATGAATAAAGAAAAAGAAAAAAAGAAGATGAGAAAGACGAACATGAGGAGCCTGTAGAGAATTTACAGAGCTTGTCTTGGAAAAGCAAAATATATTTGGCACAACAGTGCATTCAGATCATACATTTGATTGCAAAAGCTGGTAGACAGTACATCTTGTTAAAAAAACAACAACCCAAAAACCAAACCATAATTAAAAACAAAGTGTCCTGGAGTCCATAAGAGATGCTATAAAGAATTATAACTGCAAACTGAACCACTTATGGCTATAATGCAATACTAGTTTTCCTTATTTAAAGGATCTGGATTTTTCTTCATTAAATCAAGTCTACTATTTGAAACTTCTGTGAATACGACCACTGACCACTTTTCATTTTTAAACAACATGTTTAAACAACAGATTGGAAGTTAATCATAAACAAATTAACACACCATTCTTAAATCCATAAGACATTCCAGGGACAATCGTGTACTGTGAGATGCTGCTTACCAAAGACATTTAGGGCCATCTTGATTCTAAGATAATAATGATGATGAACAATTAGGCAGCAGATCCAAATTTCCACCCTCTCAGTTTAAATCCTGAAAGAGAAGAGGACACAAGCGGAACAAGATGAGAGTGCAGCCGCAGCTGGAGGTGAGCTACCCGGGTCAGAGTAAAACCAGCTGAGTAATCAGCCACAATAACAGATAACCACGGTATATAAGAAAGCTAACGTTAGCGGATTCACTTTAGTTGGTAGGCTGTCCTGGAGGATAAGGCGGCGCTGGTGGACCCTTTTCTTTTAAAGTTACACTGTGAAGACAAAGCATTTGCTTCGTAGCAAAATAAAAGTGCAACAAACACGGCTCCCAACAATGTGAGAACACACGCTGGTTTTAGTAGCCCAAAGGTTAGCCAATAAGACGTGGTACTCACATCCCCATTCTACATTATAGTCGCCATCTTGCTGGGTCACGTGATCAGTCTCACCCTCTCTCCCTCTCGCTTTCTCTCTCTCTGTCGCTCTCTCGCTCTCTCGTAACTATGGCAACAGACCTGGCTGATGCTGCTTCGTGGCAAAGAAAGACGTCGTCGATGTGGGGCTGAGGTTTTCTTTTCGCCTCGTAGAATTAGTATTTGCTTTTATTGGTTGTCGTGGAATGCGACAAGTGCAATGAAAAAGTGAAAGAGAGAACCAACCACAAGAATATGAGCTTGTTCAACCAATTCATACCGCTTTCGTGAGCAGTACATATGGTACACATATAAAAACAGTTGTTCTGCCGGAAAGCCTCGTGGCCGGTTAGCTCAGTTGGTTAGAGCGTGGTGCTAATAACGCCAAGGTCGCGGGTTCGATCCCCGTACGGGCCATTTCCAGCTTTTGGTTTTTTTTTTTTCCCCAAAAAACCCCCTTTGATTTTAATTATAACAAATCATTTTTTCAACCTAATAAAAAAAAAGACAATGTAAACCATCGCTGTTAGGTGAAATGATAGAAAAAACACAAAAAATTCGACATTAAATTGTAAAAATTGTCAAATTAAAGTGAAAAATTTGTATGAAGTCTCCATTGTGTTGTAGTCCTTACTAGTAGTTGTGTAATTCTGTAATTTCCCATTACCCATTGTGTAATTTTGGATTATCTTCAATATTGATACAAAATTCAAATGTTTTAATCTAAGCAACGTTTACTTTACTCCTATTATATTCTGATATAGTCTGTTTTCTGGGGCCTGAATAATTTGAATCTCTATTAAGTTAAGGCTGTAAAGTGCTCATTGTGAGAAACAAACCAATGGCCAACACCTTACTCAGGCCGTGCGATGGCGCTGCTGAGCCGCCCAAGTTGCATTTTCTCTCCCTGACACCACCACCACCAGTGCCGGGGCGCACGGAGCGCTGGAGGCGGTGTGTGTTGCTCTTTATTGTTCCAGTAGAAAGCTCAGTGCGCGGCTTCCCACATTTGTCTGAATGGCTGCCGCGGACAAACCACGTCCCACCTGAGAGGGAGCGGTTCAGCTGCAAGCAAGAGGAGCACCGCGTTCAAAACTTACAGCGTGGATTTTACCATCTGCGGTGGACACAAAAAGCTCTCACGGACGCACATTCAGTGGATCCTGGAGGAAGAGAGGGGGTAAGGAAACCGTGCCATCCGGATTGTGAAGCGAGCTTAAACGCAGTGTTTCTGGTATTCCTCGCACAGTAGGTGCAGATTCAGACAGCTTTACTGCATTATGTAGACCAGTTTCTAGGAATAGGAGTCGTTGCTTTTTTAAAATGCAACAGTGGGTTAAGCGCGATGAGTCCGATATCTTAAGTCTAAGCTCGCTTCGATTGCAGCCACCAGTCTGTTCGTTTTCCTAATCGGCTGAGCTTTAGGAGGTCCAGCAGAGCTTCTGTTACTGTAAGCTTAAAGATAGACGAGGATATGCTCCTCCGATTACTGCTACATAAAACTTCAAGATTATTATAGTTTTAACACTTTAATCTTGAATATTTTCCACTTTATTAGTAATTCCAGTATTTTGTATTAATAATACCACACACACATGCACACACCAGCTCAGTCCCTGGACTGTGAGCAGGTTGCCTTGGCCTACTGACATCTTTGCCCTGGGCTAAAGGATTACTCTGCTAACCCACATTGTAGGGTTCTCTCTGCCAACTGTACTCTGTACTGTATGAGTACGTCTCTAAATGTGGCTCGTCGAAGTGTGCGTGCGCGTGCGCGCGCGTGCACCTAACAAAGCTGCTAGTTGATCTTTGGTGTTCTCAGAGACAATCCCCCTTTCACAGTGTGCACCTTTTAGGTGTCACAATCAGCTGGTAAACAAATCCCCTCCCTTTATTGATTTCTGAGAGACACATACTCTTCTTGGACCCCCTCCATCTTTCAGCATGAGGTCACAGGGTCAGCATCCATGATCAACAATGGTTGGGTGCTCAGGTGGAAATGCTGCCTGTTTGGTATTGCAATCAGTATGACATGGTATTGATTGCCACGTGGTGTTGATGTTGCACTCCATTTCTTGCCCACACATACACACAATACAATCTCTCCTGAGGGCAGTAGAGCAGCTTAATGGCTCAGCAGGTGGATGGTGTCACCTTGGTGGAGTCAAGCCCAGCCACTGATCTGTCAAGGAGCGCAGGTGTAGCGGGCTCGCTGTGTCATAGCCTTGATCTCACCCTCGCCAATGCTTGTCGGCTTGGGTGTCATTTTTCACTCTACTCATGTAGAATACACAGAGTGAAAATGTACACAACAAACAACACTGTCAGGTAATGGATCCCCTTTAGTGTTCATTGGCTTAGTGCATGTATTAGTTTTATTGTGTGAGTTTCGGGGGTGGGGTTAGGGGTGGGTGTAAATATATGGGACATAATCTGGAAGCAAGATCCACTTGCTTAGCTGTTTCCACACCTTCCCACCATATGTCGCTACTCAGGATGCCCTCACCAGAACACACAGGGATTTTTTTTTCTGCACAAAACAATGCTCAGTATGCACCTTCCGACTGACCTACTGACTGATAGTTGCGTGCATGTGTAGTCACCAAAAGATGGACATAGCAACATAACATCAGCCACTGTTTTTTAAGCCTTAAAAATGTTCCCAGTGCTAGTTATTTGGAGCTTTTTTGGAACTGAATTAACAGCTAGCTCTAAATAGCTCTGTTATCAAGATGCATCTGTAGAGTTTAAGGGCATGTCATACAGACACAATATCTGTTAAGCATCAGCTCTAACCAACACTGATGCGCAGACTTCATGAACTAGGGGTAACACACAAAAAGCCATGTCATTTGTCAAATATTTGTCATTCATTAAAAAAAGAGCTTCTGACATGATGGAGAAGTATCAGTGATCAGTGACTCCAGTTCAGTTTCTTGGGCTTATTTTTTAACAATATATTCCTTACAGTTTTTGTAAAAGATTTATGTTGCTTGTAATTCTGTAAATTCAACAATTTTAGCATTGAAGTTGGAGGTTCTGATCCAAGAAAATCCTGATACAGTGGTATGCGAACAGCTAAGTAGGGAATAATTCAAACATATTTACCACTAGAGCCTATGTCTCAAGTACTTGGAAAGAAGGCAAATAGAGTTCTTTTGGTATGTGAACATGTTTTCATGTTCACATACCAAAGTAAAGAAGCCTCTTGGAAGAAAGAGGCTTCTTTAGTTCTATAACAACCTATGGAGAGTCCCTGGTATATAACCCTTAGTTTTCACATCCAATGGTTCTTTTACTCTGATTCAAATCAGTTGATGAGTTTGTAAACTTGTAGCTTTTCCCTGTAATTTGACTTCTTTTTACACAGAGTAGAATCCAAGTGAACTAAAATACAGTCAAAGGAGCTTGCAAAGAAAAGCGTCTGGACTTCTTTAAGTTACTTGAAGACGTTTCACCTCTCATCCGAGAAGCTTCTTCAGTTCTAAGGTCAAATGGTGGAGAGTCCCAGATATAAACCTAGTGGGAGTATCCCCCCACAGAGGGACAAAAGGACCCCTGATGATCCTCTAATCGCCTGAGCCAAGGTGTGAAACTGGGTGTGGGTCCCAATCAGCCAGAGTTTCGGGTGAGTTCATTGTGAAACCTGGCCCCACCTTATCATGCGAATTCCTGAGATGACCTGGATGACTGAGAACCTTCACAGACATAAAATGCATCACTACAAACCAGATGAGAATGTTATTGGCCATATGTGTCCGGAGAGGGGAGCAACAAAAGTAAATGCAGGGAAAGGGTCCTGTGTTGATCTCCTATTAGAGAACATGTAGAATTTACATTTTCATTTGACTGCGAGTTGCTAGCCTATACATACCTTTCCACTTCTATAGTACCTTGCTGCATCCCAGAATGCAAAGCATACGTGGCTATGGGAAATTTTTCTGTAGCTCAAACTTACAACGTATACCTGGTATTTGATTCTGATTGAGGTGTGATCACATTCACACCATAAATGAACCGCTTTGGAATGGGTTACAGTCTGAATTTGAATTTTGGAGACTTTAGCTATGTTCCAATAACCTTGGAAGTCAGAACTCTAGAATGACTTCACTTCCTAGCTAGTGTGTTCCAACAGTAAAGTCAGAAAAGCAAGAAAATCAGGATTTGTTTTGGTTTTTAGCATTGTAGAGCCATTCATGTATGACTAGCTATACAGCATATTTGTTTGTCGGAACTTAAAAACACGCCTGTGGCACACGCATGGATAGAGCCTAGTCAGTGCTCTGCATATGGCTTGTTTAGCGAGTCATGAATATACAACAGCGGCAGTCCAGACTAAAAATTTTACAGTTTTACTGCTTGTACATTAACTGCTGCCATCTTGTATTGTTCATTCTTGATTGTTGGGGTTGCTTTGACTTTCTGAGTAGGAAATTCAAGTTAAGGGGGCATTCCAGATTAAACTGGGAACTCAGAAATTTTGATTTCTGACTTGATCTGGAACTCAGCATTAGTCCCACCCTACCATCATGTCTGCTATTCTGGTCATATGATTCAAGGTTTGAGTGGGGCTAAATCACCTGTGAAAGGGATCCCAGGACTGCACTGTAGCACGCTGATTGCTGGTGAGCTACCACAGAGGTGGTCAAAGTCAAAGTCCTTCTATGAGCAAGTCTGGTATCATGGGCATCTTAGTAACGCCTCTGGGCCATTATTTTGGCGGTTACTTTGAAGCACTATCTAAATGAGCTTTCATCTAAGTTACCACAGGAAATGGTAACTTAAATGAAAGCTGACGTTATCCACCGAATAAGGTTTTATAAATCCTTTCTTATGGATCTTTGAGGGCCATATCGCTCTCTTGCTATATCTGGTATTGGACATATGTGTTATGCCACTAGCAGGATATCTGTAATATCCTGATATAACTGTGATAGGAAAAAGTAACTGAGGCCAGAGATTATGTGCTAGTTAGTCTTTTAAATTTGTGTGGGCAGTACTTCCATGAATATTTTCAGGTTTGGGACTGTTTGTCAAACAAAGACGTTTAAAGATTTCCACAGACATTTCAAGGAATGTGTAACACTTTTTTTCCCCGGCATGCATATTCTAATTTTTTTTATAAATTACATTATGATAAAATGATTGTGTTATGACTATGCTGATCCAACCTTATGAGGTGAGGCAAGTGGGTCCTTACTATTTGTAAATGTTTGTATTATTCAGAGTTTTTCTGAGAATATTACCCCAGCTCTACCGTGTTACTTTCTCTCTACAGTGGCCCTGACACAGTGCTGTTTAAATATGACTGCAAAGCTCCCTTCATTAGCCTAGCAGTGCACCTGTGTTAGTTTCATCTTGTGATCAGTGATCCTTTTTCACAGCACAGTTTCTGCTGCTCCTTTTGTCAATAATTTAGCTTTTTTTTTAACCAGCAGCCTCATCAGTCTGTGTACAGACTTCCAGCTTCTTGCATCTCATTTGGCCTTGACATTTTAACCAAACTGCTGATTGCTAGACCTGTTTCACAGCCGACTGACTCTTCCCATTGTGCAAGCTTACACAGATTATGTAATGTCAGACTTCTCACTTCAAAAATGACCAAGCGTTATCTAATTTTTTAACAGATTGGGGTCAGAGTTGGTAATCCTTTGTATGAAAACGATCTGAATCAAATTGGTAACTTTTCTCCCTGTATGACATAAGGCTGTCTCTCATGCACTTGCAATCACATCCGATTCTCTTAGCTTGGCTTCCCCCTGGCAAACTCTTGGGAAACTTTCAGCTAGTTCAAAGCCTGGTTGAGAGGCCTAGGTCCCCCTGAGTTAAAGCCCCGCTGCTGGAAGCTCCCACAGTAGCTTCCTTTGTGCCTGCATGAGCAGCTTGCTCTGTATTCCTCTCTTGCACAACAAAACTCCATGTATAATTCCCCCAGGCTCTAAAGAGGAGATGATGAAATCCCAGCTTCCAAATTCCCTCTTTCTAGATTTAATTGGTGGTGAATTTGATTGTCAGTTTAACATGTAGTGTGTTATTATCAAGGTTCCGATTTCTTTTATGATGGTGAAGTCATTGAAATCATTCATGGAAGAATCTGTATTATTTTTATTTTAGTTCCCAGTAGATTCCTTATGTGAGCTTTTCTTTAAAAGACTGAAGACATGCAGACAACAAATCAGCTCTGCTGCCTGCAGAATATCAGCTGGGCAATTGATACGTCATTGTCAGTGAATTATTAGAGCTATAAAACTGGTTTTTGACTTGGGTAATACAGGGAGCTTTAAGTTTGTAGTTTTAAAATATGTAACATTGTTTTGTCAAGCAGGACAGTGGCATGTAAGTTTTACTATAGCTTAAAGGAAGATGTTGGTCACTGTCTCAGTGCTTCCAGCCGTTACAGCTACCAGTAAACAACTGCATGGCACTTTCATTTCATTGCAGAAGTGGTTGACAGAAACAAAGGAGTGTTCCCACTGGTGTAATGAGTAACTTGAATGTCAGATCCCTTTTTATTGTCAGGTCACTTCCTTGGTACGTCTCCAGTTTCAGGTTTTGTGACTGAGGTGTAGAGAAGCAGTAACCTGTGTGTTCATGTGAAGGGATTACTAAGGATGGTGCTGTTTTTTTGTTTTTCTTTTCTATTGCAGTGTGGTGTTATTAGCCTGGTTATTTCTGTGGGGAAAAAGATCACCTCAACTGTTCTGGGGTCAATTTTGAAATAAAGGTTTGATAAGGTTTGAATGATCATGAAAGAAACAAGACAGATGTCGAAGTTTCTTTATTTTGACCAACAGTTCAAAATGTTAAGATGTGGCAGCCAAAGTAGGAAGTGCCACTAACTGTAGTTCCTCTAGTGCCCATTTGAGGCCGTTTCCAAAAGTGGGTCAATCCCCATAGGGTCCCATGTTAAAATACCGGCTTTACAGAATACAGCAACTAATACAGCCCTCTACAACCAACTTATCCCTTTGTTACATCTGTGCGAAGTCTAAGTTTTCTTATAACTCAGCTGTTGAAGCTTAAAGTTTGGGGCCTTTCTGCTTTGACTGACAGGAACCATAATAGCCCTATTCAGAGGACTAGTACTTATTCGAACTGAGTGTACTTGGTTTCAGTCGTTTTCCATTATGATTGAGTACACCCTAATGTGCATGGATGGGGTCATTATCGAACATGGCTGAAAGTCCATTTCAGTCAGTGTATGTGGCACAAACACAACACAACAATGTAGGACATCAATGTTATACCTGCTGCTCAGTGTATGGCTTTTTGTTGACTTGTTGACATCATATTTTTAGAGCATTTCAGATCGCTTGGAACCCCGGCCAAGTAGGTGCTAAAAACGGACCTGGTCCCAGGTACTACCACCTAATAGAAAACCCTAAAAGGCTAATCGAGCCCAGCCAAGTACTTAATAGTGGAAAAGGGTTATAATACCATTACAGACAGCTGCAACAGGTGTTGTTAGACTAACTCGATTCACTTACCTGGATTTCTCAACCACATCTGTGATGCTGGTGCCTTTTTGTAACATTTTAATTGTGGTTTATTGCAAAAACTATGACTGTGCTTTTGTGAATAACATTCAAGGATTTTGCCTGCATACCTTGCTTGCCTAAATATTTTGACATCTGGCTCAAAAAATTCACTCAACCTGTACTTTATCCCCAAACTAGATACTCGTCACAGTGGCTTCACCACAGTGTCCTGTCCTCGTAAAACCACAAATTATACATCAGTTTGATTCTCCAGATTTGGGCAAAGGAAAGCTGTATTTTTCAGGCACATTTATAGGAGTCTTTGGAACAGGACAGCTCCCATCAAGCCTATGACACACTGTATTTGCTCTTGAATTATGGGCCCGGCATTGGAAGTGGTGAATGAAGCTCACATAGTTGGGGTGGATGTTTGCCATGGTGGAGTCTCCCTGCTAACTGCACCACTCAAATATTTACAACAAACTGTTTATCCGGATGCAGAGTTGTTGGTGAAAAGGAAACAACAGATTTGATTTGATTTTTTCCACTGCAGCTTAGTGGATGACTCATAGTTTACAGTCACACTTCATCTGTTGTGTGATAATAATGATCAATTATGTTGACCTTGAACAAGAAGCTGTGTTTTCTAAATGATGTTTACTACTGGGTTAGAAGTGGACATTGATGTCATGATTGATGTCATGATTTATTGACAAGAAATGCCTCTGTACATGATCTCTCTCTTTTTTTTTAATATTTAATTTTTCTCCAGACACAAACCTCAAAGTCTGCTGAGCATTGCTGGAAACGCTGGATAATTGATCCTGTGTGTTAGTGTGTCAGGGCAGCGCAGCAGTGTGTTACCCTCGTCCTTTGCCCCCCACCCTGACTGTCTTCTAAAACATTCCTCAGCTGTGATATCACCAGCAGTCCTGAGGGGTTATTTACTGTCTGAGGTTGAGGTTTATCAAGTGTGGGATGGAGGTGGGGGTGTTGTGTAATTGAATGAAAGCAAAGGGGGTGAGGGGCACAGATTGAGTGTCTTTGTGCGTTCTCAGACCGTATCTCATCTGCCCTACTTGTGATGCTTTATTCAAGTCTGAACTGGCCTTAAACAGAGCTCTGTGAATAGCTCATAGGAAATCCCAACTTCAAGCTCTGCAGCTGGGATACATGAGTGTCTAGCTAGGTGTGAGCAAGTCTGTCTGATTCTGTCTGAAGTTTATGCTATGTATGCACTATAGTCAATAAATAAATAAAGCTCATCACTAAAGAACTCAGATTAAATGTCTTTTGGTTTGTACATTGGGTAAGACCAATTTAAAGCAAAGATTGGATAAATATGGGAAGACATTTCACACATTTCTTGAAGTAATTAAACTTTGGAGTTTCTCTCCAAGCAAAGTGCCACAAAAGAACCTCTTACTCCCTTTCTTTTCTTTTCTTTTCTTTTCTTTTCTTTTTAAATAAGGTGCACAGGTCCTTTATTTTCATGTTTCAAGAATAACCTCCAGTTATTCAAGAGATCTCTCAGGTCTGCATTAATGCAGTTTGGCCTGTGTTTCTTTAAATGCTAATGACGTTTTTAGTCCTTCAGACACCCACAAAAGGGATTTAGAATTCCTATAAAAGCAGTATCAGGATGCCTTTTAAGGAAATTGTGCATGCAGATTTACTAACACACAGGATGTGCTGCAACTGTACTGTTTATAGTGAGGGCCCAAAGCATACAAAGAGACAAACTCCAATCCCACATTTTCAGAAAATTCTCTTTTCTTTCTCCACTAGACGTGAACAGAGGTCCCTGCAGCTCGATAGCCTCTTACTGTAAGGTCTGTCATCATGGTCGAACCAGCCGACAGGTCGTCCACAGCCGGGCAGAGGCTGGGTGCTCCTGAAAGCTTTGGAGTGTCCACCCTAGAGCCAGGTCTGCGCCCTCCTGCCCAGCCTCCAGGACGCCAAGTCTCCATGAGGGTGCAGATGCTTGATGACACACAGGAAGTCTTCCAAATATCAGTGAGTAACATAATGTTGGATTATTGCAGGCATACTTTAGTGATCCAGAGGGATTTAAAATAAACATGTGGGAAGTGAAGAGTGGATGTGTGAGGTTTGCACACATCTTACTGTCCATGAAAATATCCACAGCAGTGGCTGTGATGGGAGTAAAACAGGTGTTCAGCTTGGTAGAACCTCCTTGTGTGTTGTTATTGCAAATAAGCAGTGCATGAGTTTAGTTTCTTTCCATTAACCCATCAAATTTCCATATTTGTTTTTTTTTTTTGTTTGTTTGTTTGTTTGTTTTTGTTGTTTTGCTTTTTAAAATATTTACATGCTTTCATTTCATTTGGTAAATGGACTGGGACTTACACTTTTCACTACAAGCAACATTCACTCATGGATGGATGACTTGAGAGCAAGTCTGGGTTCAATATCAAGATGAGGGATACTTCAGTTGTATTGGCCCTGTTGGTTGGCGATCCACTGGCATTTCACTATTGCATTTCACGATAACTGTGTAACTGTCTGTGCTGCTCTGTACTTGGTGGAGGATGTGCTTCCAAAGCGCCCCTTTAGTTTATTTATTACCTAAGAGCCTGTTATAAAACCATCGCTGCTCTTGGGTAGCACAAAAGCCTCAAAGAATAAACCTGTGCTTCTGTTCAGAATGTGCAAAATGACTTTCATAGTCTTTTTTAGATTTTTGGCATCACGAAAAGGAAGCATTTGCAGAGTGACATTATTGCCTTCAATGTTCAGATAAGATATTGGTTTGTTTCCTTAAGCCTCTCTCCATTTTCTCTTCATCTAAGCATGTGTTTGTCATTTATTTATTACCCTCTTGCTAAACTGTCACTTTATTAACTGATACAAGCAGAAAAGGAGGGTAAAATATTAAACTATTTTTCCACAGTCCCCATGGAATTCATCACCAGTTTTTGCTCCATAGAGATGGTTCATTTTGTTCCATCCACCTTGAGTCTTATCTTCAATCTCCACTTCCTTGTGATACACGGGAAGTGGGACAGAAGCCAGCTTCCTGTCCAAGCACACCACACCTACAGACTCTTGTTTTGGCTTTGCAGACAGAGGCAGACTTTATTCTGTTTTTTTTTTACTACTTCCCAGCAGCTTGTGTTTTTCTAAACACTAAGCCTGCTCCCCTTTTTATAAAAAGATTGCTGTTATGGCATGTGTATATGTAGTAAGCAGTCCTGCATTTGTCCTGTGTTCCTAAGTTTTCATTTTCTTCTTCTTTGCTTTTATTTAGCCTTAAGCCTCCCTCTTCTGTCATTTACTCCATCGTAAACATACATAACTGTATATTACTGTAGCCAGTATTCACCCTGCTTCATAAATATTTGCATGTGTTTTGAATCTCCTTGTTAGCTTGAGTATGTCATGCGCGTCTACTTGTGCTCCCTGACTTCCTAATGTTTTGGTTTTTTTTCTTTTAAAGGCGTCCTTTGAGAGGCGGCACAGACAGCAGTTTTAATCACATTGCTGCTGCTGTGGTACTGTGGTATGTCATCTCAGGGTGGGCGTATCCTCGAATTTCAGAATTAATGTCTGCTGCAGGCTGACACAGAGTTTGGTTTCAAGCCTTCCTTGGTGATTTGCATGTCTTTAAAAAAAAACAGCTGCTGTATTTTCAGCTTCAGATTTAGGGAGTCTTTGTGATGATAATCAAGAGAGAATCCAGAAAGAATCACTGTCTCAGCTGGCTTCTCGAACATTCAGAGCTGCTGGTCTGTGGGGCTGTAATTGGTCCTCATGAAATGGCCAAGAATGCATGCGGTTGTTGGAGTGAAAGTGCCTCAGGATGTGTTTGAGTGGATGATTGGACAGTTTGACAGTGGCCTGGGATCTGGTGTCTGTGAGGGGATGTCATCTGCGTGTGAATACTACTAAATTGATGTCTCCACAAACTGATGTTCTTCACAAAGCAGCAGCCCTCTTCATATCAGGGAGCTCTTTTCTCTATCTATTTCTGTCCTCAACTCCTTTCACAGCCTCTCACACACGTATGAGTTGGTCTGTCTCTCTGGAACCTGTTTCAGCTTCACTCTTTACACCACAGGAGAGCAGAAGTATCAGGTGAAAACAGCAGCATGAAACTAAAATAGTAATATTTTTTATGTATTTATTTATTTTTATTTTTCGTTGCTGTTTTAAAAGCCAAATGTACTAAAAGATGAACTAGAAGGAGAGAAGCGAGAACAGAGCAGAGAAACATGGAACATGGGAAGTGAACCAACCAAATTAATGACAGTTGTTTTCATTGCTTCTTACAAATTTGGTGAAATAATGGGGACATTGTCTATTGAGCCTGACTCACCTAATCTGTTTTTTCCTGTTACAATAGCCTCCAGTGTATTTGTGCAGTAGGTGCAGTCGAATGTGTGAATCAGGAGATAAGCCTGCAGCTTTCACTAGCATTGGCACTTGACTGGGCATTTTTTCACTGCAGTGGAGGTAAAGTAGAAGGGTAGCTCATTAACCACCTTGTTATCAGCAAACCTCAGGCTGCTGCAGGAGAGGGGCAATAAATTTTAAAAATACATTTCATTTTAGTATTTTTTCTTTTTAGCACATGAAGAACAATGCAGACATACCATAGTGTTGTTGTAATGTTGACTAAAGCTTTTTGGGGTTGATTTCTTGAATTTGTTCTTTGTTTTAAACCACTTTTGAGACCAATTACAAGGAAATGAAGATATTTCTCCAAAATCAAGGGATAGTTAGGAGTGCACATTAATTCAGCCTGTTTAAACAAGTCTTCTGCAGGCTGAAATGCCAAACCTGCACTCAAAGCAAATCTGATTTTTGCATACTAAATGAAAATAGATCCTGTGCAGTGTTTTCATATAGATAAGTTTCAGCTAGGTTGTGTTTAGAGGACATAGTGCTTCTGTCTGTTTTCTGGGCTTCAAACGGCAGTTGCTCCAGTACTATGTTTACAATATAAAAAGCACTATCTGCAGCACATGTAGCAGAGTAGCATCACAGCTGTGCTGATTGCAGTCACGCTCTATAATCAGTCTTCCTGAAGAAATATGGATTTGGTTAATGTGCAGTCTCAAGATTATCATAAAATGTGCATTTACAAGAACCACAATAATGATTATATTTTTAGCAGGTCTTGGCTAGCTATTAATTGGAAGGCTAACTGTATGGGCCTATCACTTTCTTCAGTTTGAAGCTGCACATATTGAGAAGCTTTGCACATGTTTTGATCAATATTAGCAGTAGCTTTTTGCATCAGTTAAAACAGTAGAGCACAAATTATTCATTTAACAGGGATCTGTCACATGAAGGTGACTCGAGGCATTTGGCTGTGTCGACCCTTTGTTCCCTAGCTGGCTTCACTTCCACTAAGATAAATGCCTGATTCATCCAGTTACATCAAAGCGGTTTAGTCGTTAACTATCTTGCTATCTACACAAATTGTGTGGCACAGAGAATTATGAGGAAAAACATGACCAGTTGCAGGAATGTTTCACTTTATTGCAATAGTAGACGTTGTAAGCAGTGTAGGAAACTTTCTGTTTGTATGAAATCTCAACAAAGCGCAAATATGTATCAGAGTTTTGATGCTGTTGCTTGTTATTGCGGCCAAGGCAAGCAAGAAAGAATGGCTGATGATGACCTCACTGCTCTATATTTCCTGCAGCATCCAACAGGACAGCAGGACAACTTCCCCTCTGAGTGGTTTTGCCATAGCAGTGTTGGCAAACCACAAATTCTGAGTTTTCCTTCTTTGTTGATTCTTACCTTAACATCAGTCTTAGGCTTGAGTTAGCCTTTTTGTAAGATGTATAATTCGTTTAGCTTTAATCAGTCTAACCCACATTAGAGTAATATAAGAACAAAATTCAGACTGGTTTAATCCCACAGGCCACATCTTTTTGTGAAGTCGACCCCAGAATTTTGTTCTACAGACCAGGACAAATAATTTGGTTTGTCATGGAAAATAAATTTAGGACTTCAGACATGGGGAAGATTTAGAGTGTATGTACAGCAGGGGTCAACAAAAAAACCCCACTGAAAATGGACTACTGTGACATCTTTATTTTATAAACACACATTTCTAAGATCAGAGCCACGTTCTTAATATGAGCCTCTCTGTCTTTCATGCTCAACTGTCTGTGATTCCTATGATATTTCTGGTGTTCATGAAGCTGTATCCTCAGGCTTTCAGTCTGGAGTCTGTTCAGGACCATGAACAGACTCTGTCTCTCAGATTTCCCGTGAGAGCTAATGTCGAATCCATTAGATCCAAAGAAGACCTTGCAGAGTTTTAACTGCACTCTGCTGTTCAGAGGCAAAGAGATGAAATTTCATTAAAAACTTCTCCTGAAATCACGACAGACTGGGCAGATCATCTTGTGCGTTCAGCACTTTGTTTACTGATAGTTAACATTTTATTATTTATATCTATCAGCCTTTTTCTTTGAGCTGATCTTTGGAAATGTATATTATTTGAGTGTACACCACATTAATAAAACATCATGACATGACATGACGTAGGCGCACACTGCATTAGTGACCACTGAGTCTACACACACACACGCACATACACAGAGGCACAGACACACTCAGTCTTCATTATTAATGTGTAAAAGAGGCAGAGATGGAGGTAGTGGTAGAGGTCACGCCCAGCTGGTTAATAATTAAAGGTAGACAGGATGTGTGTGTCTGTGTTTTTGTTTGCATACATGCTGAATGGAGCATAAACTAACAGTATAGCTTTCAACACAGACAATTTCAAGCATGCACAAAGGTTTAAACTTTTGACCTACTCCTCTGATTGTTTTCTTGCATGGCATTAACAGACTTTGCCGTGTGACTCACAAGTAAAACCGTTTCACATTCTCAACAGGCCACAGCATCCGTTATTAAGGGGAAGCAAAATAACCTACATGCCAAAATCTGCAATAGCAACGATAATCAATAAGACCAGTGTATTACTCGTTATTTTGTGTTTTTCCTTTTTTCTTTTTTCTTTTAGTAAG